ACATAATGAATTCCCAACACCAGAATGGCAGGAAAGGAGTAATCATGCTGAAGACCCAGTCATGGAAAACTGAACTGAGAAAATGATTTCCCCATGTACCATATATCTAAGAAAATAAATATTTATCAGGCTTAACTGTTGTTACCACCTCAAACTTGTGTGGATGCAAGATAAATCTGGAAGGAACTTCATCTATATTCTCATTAAGGGTGCCCAGCATCACTGATAGTAATAATTCTCCTGTTATGATGGCTGGTTTCATATGTCAACTCGATGAGTCTATAGTTCCCAGTTATTCAACCAAACACTAATCTAAGTGTTGCCATGAAGGTACTTCGCACTTGTGACTGCTACCTATAATCAGTTGATTTTAAGTAAAAGATAATTTCCTACAAAACCTGGATGTGCGTGAGTCGGTGACTTAAAAAGCCTTGAGGGCAAGACTGAGGTTTCCTTGAAGAAGGTAACATTCTGGACTATGGCTTCAGAGCCCCTGCCTGCCCTTCCTGATGCCTGTCCTATGCACTTCTACTGACTCGGGGTCAGTCTCACAATCATGTAGGCCAATTCCTTGCAATAAATCTCTTAATATATTCATATTATCTGGTTATGCAACTGATTCTGTTGCTCTGGTGGAACTCTGACCGATACACCACCTTGTATGGATCAAATGTAAAACTAACTCCTAGGCAGGGCTAATTGAGGTCTTCTCCTCCTCATACCTCAGTCATCCCTGAACTTGACCATAAATGCAACTGGAATGGCAAGATTTGCAGATTAATGAGGCTAAGACATGGAGTATTCTCTGAGCCAGAATCAAACTATCACTGAGCATAACATATAGAGAAGTTGAATTACTATGTTGTACACCTGAAAGTAATGTACCATTGTGTGTCAGCTGAGTATAGTTACACTCAAACAAAATATCGTTTTAACCTGCTACCACTGAAATAATGTACAGCCTTCCATCAACTTCTGAGAGCGCTGTTTTCATTAATCCTATATAAATAAAATGACAAAAGACCATTACTTGACTAGACCTGATTGTGTAGACCCTAAAGAACCAGATGACTCTTTTATTTAGATTATTTATTTATTTATTTATTATTGAGAGACAGAATGAGAGAGAGAGAGAGAAAGAGAGAGAGAGAGGCAGAGACACAGGCAGAGGGGGAAGCAGGCTCCATGCAGGGAGCCTGACGTGGGACTCCATCTTGGGTCTCCAGGATCAGGCCCTGGGCTGAAGGTGGCGCTAAACCGCTGAGCCACTCAGGCTGTCCTAACTATCTTGATTTAATTTAAAAGTGTTGTTGGGAAGATTTCAACTTATACTACGAAGCTCAAGTAATCAAAACAATATGGTACTGGCACAGAAATAAACACAAACACCAAAGGAATAGAATAGAAAACCCAGAAGTGAATCCACAATTATATGGCCAATTGATCTTTAACAAAGCAAGAAAGAATATCCAATGGGAAAAACAAGTGTCTTCAACAAATGGTCTTGGGAAAACTGGACAGCTACATGCAAAAGAATGAAGCTGGACCACTTTCTTACACCATACACAAAATTAACTGGAAGTGGATTAAAGACCTAAATGTGAGATCTGAAACCATGAAAATCCTAGAAGAGAGTATAGGCAGTAAAGTCTCTCACAGCAGCCATAGAAACATTTTTTGTGGAAATGTCTCCTGAGGCAAGGGAAATAAGAGCAAAAATGAAATATGGGACCACATCAAAATAAAAACCTTCTGCAGAGTAAAAGAAACAATCAACAACACACATGACCTGCTGAAATGCAGAAGATATTTGCAAATGACATACCCAACAAAGAGTTAGTATTCAAAAGATATAAGGAACTTCTACAACTCAACAGCAGAAAACAAGAAATCCAATTTTAAAATGGGCATAAGAGGGGTGCCTGGGTGGCTCAGTCAGATAAGGGTCTGCCTTCAATTCAGATCATGATCTGGGGTCTTGGGATTGAACCCAACATCAGGCGCTCCACTTAGCAGAGTTTTACTCTCTCTAAATTAATTAATTAATTAATTAATTAATTAATTTTAAAAATCTTTTTTTAAAAAAAGGGAGTGAGGTGCTTAGGTGGCTCAGTCAGTTGAGCATCTGCCTTTGGCTCAGGTCATGATTTCAGCATCCTGGGATTGACCCCAAGTCAGGCTCCCTGTCATCAGTGAGTTGCTTCTCCCTCTGTGATCTCCCTCTCTCTCTCAATTAATTTTTTAAAAAAAAATTAATGGGCAGAAGACATGAACATACACTTCTCCAAAGAAGACATCCAGAAGGCCAAAAGACATGAGAAAACACTCAAATTACTCATCATCAGGAAAATGTAAATCAAAACCACAATGAGACATAACCTCACACCTGTCAGAAAGGTTAAACTCAAAAACACAGGAAATAACAAGTCCTGAAGAGGATGTGGAGAAGATGGAATCCTTAAGCACTTGGTGGGAATGCTAACTGATGAAGTCACTGTGGAAAACAGTATGGAGATACCTCAAAAAATTAAAAACAAAAGTATTCCATGATCCAGTATTGCAGTACTCTATATTTACCCAAAGAGTAGGAAAACATTAATTTGAAAGGGTATATGCACCCATAGGTTTACTGAGTCATTATTTACAATAGCCCAATTATGGAAACAGTCCAAGAGTCCATTGATAGATGAATGGATAAAGAAAATGTGATATATGTACACAATGGAATATTAGTCATATAAAAGAATGAAATTTTGCCATTTGCAACAACATACTAGAGAGTAGTATAATGCAAAGTGATATAAGTCAGAGAAAGACAAGTATCATATGATTTCACTCATATGTGGAATTTAGGAAACAAAACAAATGAACAAAGGGAAAAAAGAGACAAACCAGATAATGAGCCAACATAGGGGAGGTAGTTGGGGGATAGGTGAACTAGGTAAAGGACTTTTTTAAAGATCTTATTTATTTATTCATGAGAGACACACAGAGAGAGGCAGAGACATAGGCAGAGGCAGAAGCAGGTTCCCTGTGGGGAGCCCAGTGTGGGACTCCATCCCAGGACCCCAGGATCACGACTTAAGCCAAAGGTAGACACTCAACCACTGAGCCATCCAGGCACCCCTAGGTGAAGGAAGTTAAGAGTACACTTACCTTGATGAGGACTGAGTAATACGTGGAATTGTTGAATCACTATATTTTACATGTGAAACCAATTTAACACTGTATATGAATGATACTGGAAATGAAATTTAGGAGAAAGTATTGATGGGAAGTAAAAAAATAATTATAAATGGGAATGGGTGGAGGAACTAACATTAATTGAATGCCTACTATATGCCAAGTCCTGTGCTGGATGTTTTCCATTTACCCCACTGACCCACACAACACTGTGAGCAATTACGTAAATTTTATAGCTAAAGAAGTAGAAATTCAATGATGTCCAAGAGGAACACAACTAACAAGAGCTAGAGCCCAGATTGAGAGTCTTGGCCACAAATCCTGTTAGTGTCTCACTATACAATTAAAGACAGCATCAGAACGTGGGGAATGTTTTTAATTTAAACTATTTTATGAACAACTTTTTTTTTTGAGATTCATTCATATACTTTAGAGAGAGAGGGGCGGAGAGGGAGAGGGAAAGCCCATGAGTGGGTGGATCAGCTGAGGGAGAGAATCTTCAAGAAGACTCCCTGCTGAGCACAGAGCCTGACCTGAGGCTAATCCCAGGACTCCTGAGATTATGTCCCCGGCCAAAACCAAGAGTTGGATGCCCAATCAACTGAGCCACACATGTGCCCCATGAACAACTTATTTTAAACTTTTTCTGTACAGCCTTTGTCATGAAAGACATTGCACCAACCCATTTAAGGTTAATAAATTTGGATCTGAATCACATTTATATCATAAACATAGCACAGCCTCAGTAAGAGATGTCTTAAATTCTTAGGTCTACAACTGTGTCCTTCTAAAGGAGGTATTTCTCAACAAATTCAGTTCAGAGGGCAGCCCTGGTGGCTCAGCGGTTTAGCACTGCCTTCAGCCCAGGACCTGATCCTGGGGACCCCAGATCAATTCCCACATCAGGCTCCCTGCATGGGGCCTGCTTCTCCCTCTGCTTGTGTCTCTGCCTCTCTCTCTCTCTCTGTGTCTCTCATGAATAAATAAATAAAGTATTTTTAAAAAATTCAGTTCAGAATTGAGTATCTCATGTTGTGAGACCACATGTTAAGATACATCCGAGGAAATGTCTCCCATTTCTCTCCTTTAAGTCAATGTTATAGATTATAATTAGCATTTCTATGCTTCCTTCCATCCTTAGAATTGATATTCTGGATCACATAAGTAAAATTTTCATAAATTAAAAAAGGTACTCAAGATAATTCTTTAAAAAATTAAACCAGTAAGTGACTTCTGGTCATTTACAAATGGAGTCAATAAATTTAAAGGGCACAAGAAAATTCACAACCATCAGTGAATGCAAAGACATAGCTGAGTAACGTTACAGAACTCCAAAGATAAAGAAAGAAGATTAAAAGCAGAAAAGATTGTGATTGTTCTAGAGGTAAGATGAAATTGTTCTCCAGTCACCACAGATATTCACCCATAGCTGAGGTACTCTCTAGGTTTTCCTTTGTGTTTGTGGGAGACCCTGAGTTTCACATCCCACTCATAGCCCTTGTCTCTAAACTTGAAGTCAGAGGATCCAAGTCCCAGCCAAGCTCTGCCACATACTTGCAGGTCACCATTAAGTAAGTCACTTCTCTCTGAGTTTTCTCATTTGTTAAAGTGTTTAACATAAAATAATATAACCACTTTCCATTTTATGAGGATGAGATAAAAGTGAGAAGCGCCTAACACAGTACCTGACACGGGAGTAGGTCCATAGAAATATCGATTTAATCTCAAATGTCACACTCTATGAAGACTTCTCTCCACTTTTCACATAGTAAAACAAAGGTTTAGAGGCAGGGCTTGTCATTTAAAGCCAAGATATTTTAAGTCCACTTTCTGTTACATACCATGAGGCGCTTGCCTAATCTCTTCATGGCTGCCTGCATCTCCTGATTCCTTAGGGTATAGATCATGGGGTTGAGCATGGGGGTCATAACTGTGTAGCTGATGGACACAGCCTTGTCCATGGGGAAAGGAGTGAAGGGCCGGGAGTAGATATAGATACAGGGAATGAAGATCATAGACACCACAATGATGTGAGTGGTACATGTGGAAGCTGCCTTCTTCTTGGCTTGCCCTGAGTGGGACCTCAGCATCACCAGGATGACCGTGTAAGATATCAGAAGGAGAAGGAACCAGATGAGAACCAACATCCCACTGTTGGAGATCATGAGGAACTCCAGAAGGGAGGTATCAGTACAGGCGAGTCTCAGCAGTTGTGGGACATCACAGTAGAAGTTATCCAGGATGTTGGGGCCACAAAAAGGTAACGGGAGCATCAGAGCAAGCTGGACAATGGAGTGAACAAATCCCCCTACCCAAGCAGCCACCACTAGCCCCACACACAATCGAGGGTTCATGATGGTGACATAGTGGAGGGGCCGGGAGATGGCTATGTAGCGGTCATAGGCCATTACTGAAAGGAAGAAGACAGTCCCACCACCCAAGAGGTGAAAGAAGAAGATCTGGGCCATGCAGCCCTGGTAGGAGATGGTCCTGACCTCATGAAAGAAGTCCACCAGCATTTTTGGAGAAGTGACTGTGGAATAGCCGAGATCTATGACAGCCAGATTTCGGAGCAGAAAATACATGGGCGTGTGGAGCCGAGAGTCAGAAGTCACTGTAACCATGATAAGGATGTTTCCCACAATGGTGGTGACATAGACAAATAAGAACACCAGGAACAGGAATTTCTGGAGCTCCTGGGTCTGTGAAAATCCTAAAAGGACAAACTGGAACACTTGTGTGATATTCTGTGCTTCCATGTGATCTTCACCACATGCCTAAAGAATAATCATGCAAAGCAAAAAAAATCATGAAAATTCCATCGTTTTCCTTTGGAGAGTCAGGAATAAGTTAACCAAGGTCATTGTTGAATATATTCCAAGATGCAGCTTAGGAGAACCTTCCATGGAGATAAATACATTTTCAAGGCTCTCACAGACTTCTTTCCTTAACCACACCCTACACTGTATCACAGGCATTTATTTATAAGTCTTTCCCCCTTTGTATCCCTCTGTCCTTGTCCACAGGTTTCATGTCTGATTCATACCTGATGTGCCCAACATAGTGCCCTGTGAAATACAGGTTCCACAAATATGGTAGAATTAAAAAAGAAACAATTAATAAACATGTCATCAAGTACACGTGACCACAAATATCAGCATTATCTCAAAAATCTTGAGAGGATATAGAGACTAATGATTTTAGATAAACAAATAGATGCTTCTTCATGGCAAAGGTTTGACTAGCTGCATATGATTCATTGCTGAAGGAAGAGAGGTGTGGATGAGAAGAAATTGTCATGCCCTAATTTGGAACCAGATGTAAAGCCAACAAGCAGATGATCTTGGCTGAAGGTGGGATGATTAGTACTTCTTAGACTTTTCTACATAAATACTTCTCTAATGGCATTGTTGCCATTGGGCCATCTGCAAAGGTAACTCAAAACAGCGCAGGACAAATGCAAAATTTCCTTGAATTCTCAAGCTTTATATTTTAAAAACTATGTGAACTTTCTATTATACACCTATCTCTAGACAATCTTTGAGGGGCTTTTTTTAATTTTTATTTATTTATGATAGTCAGAGAGAGAGAGAGAGAGAGAGAGAGAGGCGCAAAGACATAGGCAGAGGGAGAAGCAGGCTCCATGCACCGGGAGCCCGATGTGGGATTCGATCCTGGGTCTCCAGGATCGCGCCCTGGGCCAAAGGCAGGCGCCAAGCCGCTGTGCCACCCAGGGATCCCTGAGGGGTTTTTTAAAAAATAAGTATTGTGGCTCATAAACTTCAATTGCTTAGACCAAGGAGTTATAGAAAACATAAAATAGAGAAGAAACATTTCTTTAGTTCAGTAAGTGAAAGTTCTAAAAGACATTCACTTGAAAAATAAAGGGAGTTCTTTAATGTTAAAACTCATTCCCTTGTGTTACACCTTTCGAAAATTGTTTTCTCTAATCATTCAGGAAAATTTGCCCTGAGGCTTGACCCTGTGAAGATAATAGAACATAAAAATATTTTTCTTCCCTGATTCCCACCTGATATATGGGAAGAACAACAGCAATTGCACTAAAGTAGTTTTCATAAAGAATTGAAAAGTGTAAAAAGATTTATATCAACAAATATTAAACAGAATTATCTCTGAAATTATCTGTGAGGTGTTTCAGTACTTAAAACAGTATGATGTTTATCTTATCTAAAATTCACCCGTACCCCAATGTTTGTGTAAAAATGGTGTTCTGGGAAGATACACTTTATTCTGTGGCTTCACCAGCTTCTAGCATAAGACTATTTGAAAAGCATCCCTATGGACAATTGAGAACCTCTGTAAGCCTTTTGGTGGGAAATGACATGATGAAACAGTTAAAATAGGCTTATCCCAGCACACTAGGGTAGAAAGCCCTGAGACAGGCAGGAGTGGAGCAGATACTCCAATGGCATTGTCGGAGCAACCCCAACAAAGGATAACACATCTTTGTCTCTAGCTTTGTGTCCTTGCTCTAGCACATGGTGTCAAGGTTAGACTGGGTGGGCAGCATCTTAAATGGCCTGGTTTGGCCTCTCTGAGAAAGCCCTTGATCCTTAGCACTTTATCCTCAATCCCAACCTTCCCACTTAATTACTGATTGCTAAAATGCAAATAGCATTATTTTCTTATCTCTATCCCTATAAAGATTACAACTATCTCACACTTTTATATGCCTTTATCAGTCAGAGATGCACACTATGTAATGTCAACTTCCTAAAAGATATTTTTCCTCTAAATCAAAACTTTTGGGGCACCTGGGTGGCTCAGTGGTTGAGTATCTCCCTTTAGCTCAGGTCATGATCCCAGGGTCCTGGGATCGAGTCTCACATCAGGCTCCCCTCAAGGAGCCTGCTTCTCCCTCTGCTTATGTCTCTGCTTCTCCCTGTGTATCTCTCATGAATAAATATATAAAATTTAAAAAATAAATAAATAAAAACTTTAAAAAATTCTTCATTGCCTGAAAGAAAGAATTCACATTTAGATGGTCTTTCAAGGGCTCCTACCTTTCTTTGCAGATCCACCTGCCACTTAGCAGTTATTGAAGTAGTAAACATTTTTGTAGTTGTAGCAGTAATTGCTGTCATTGTAGGAGTAGACATTTATTGAGTGTTCACTATGTGCTAGGCACTATGCTAAGCAATTTATAAATATTAGCTTGTTTGATTCTCATATAGTATCTGCATGCTTATAAAATATAGTATTATTACTTATCCCCACTTTACAGATAAATAAGCTGGGGCTTAAAGAGGTTAAATAATTTGTCCCAGGTCACACTGAGAGTGAGTAGCAGAACTGGGACTCTCACTCATGTCTGATTAGTCCCAGAATATGCACTCTTAACTACTATTCTCTTTTTACTTGCTTCTTGCTAAGAACCCTTGGCTTCAACCAAATGGATCCCCTGTTCAGTTCTTTATGCATCAGGAGCTTTCATCAGGCCAGCGTCCCACCTGGATTGCCTTCCCATCCTGTTCATCTATCTGAATCCTACCCCTCCTTCAAGGCCTGAGAGTAATGAGCTATTCCCTAATGTTAACATGGACTGGTATTTTCCCACAAGGATGGCTCTATCTCCTTGTGTTTGTAGCAGTAATTGTTTGTGTTTGTAATTTCAGTGCAAGTCTGATATGTTGAGTGCTACACAGTTCCTAGGACATGCATAGCCTTTCTCATAGATGGTTCCCAAGAGAGTGCTTGATGGCTTGATGGTGGGCAGAGTACTGGGATGGGCCAGACCACTGTGAGAGGTCAGAAGAGAGCAGGTCACCACCAAATTCAAGGGAACCCCAAATCCTAATTCCCAGCATCATCAGGTTTACAAATCTAAAAGCATCATCTTAGCATGGTCAGCATGCTTTGCACAAACTTGTAAGAATCTTTAGAAATGATTCTTCCACCTACATGCAAAAAAGAATGGATTTAGATTGGAAAGCAAAATAAAGAGACATACTGAGAGGCATAGATATGAATAGGGAAAGAGAAGGATCCTAGGCCCTTTCCTGTTATTGCTCAACCTTGTGTCCCATCCACTTTGCTTGTAGGAAATTTGTCCGTGCAGGACTGAGAGAGGGGTGGGGAGGGGGAACAAGTGGTTCCAAAAATAAGGGTAAATATAGTCTGTGGTCAGCTTGGAAGTATTAATGGATCTTATTAAGACAAGACATAGATGAAGAGAGAATGGAGGTACAGCTGTAGAGAAGGAATGGAGACTTGGAGTGGGAGAGCAGTGGGTAGGAGGAGGAAGAACAGAGGATTAAAAGGGAAACATTAGAGGGTGGGATGTGTGAGAGAAAGACCTGGTGTGTTTTCTTCTAGGTGTGGGAAGAAGCTGGAGTATGTGGGTGGGAGATGGGGGAGAAACCAGCTGTGTCTCTCTTCTGCTCTCCCTCCCACCCTCTGTCCTGAATTCCACACAACACATAAGCCAGTACAGACAAAAGTCTTAGTTCCAGATAAAATCAATCTGGAACCCCCAATCCCCATCCCCCAGCATTCTTGCCCAGTGACTTCTCCATACCATCACTCTACCCCATGCTTGTCTTACAATAGGCTTTGCAGGAGCCTTCTCAGTGCTGGCTTGTCCATGGGAAGGACACTGTGGCCATCACTGACCTCCAGCGCAAAATGGCCACAGGGACTTAGAATCTTCACCCTCCAAGCTACCCTTCTCCTGCAGCTCCATTCTTCTCCTGGCTTCTGTCAGACCAAGAACACACAGAGGATTGGCCTTAAGGGAAAGGACACTCCTCAGGGGAAAAAAAAAAAAACAGGCTTAATTCACGCAATGAAGCTTGGCTGAGGCTGCCAGGGGCAGGAGCAATGGGAGTTATTAAAAAAAAGTCTGTGAGCTGTTACATCAGATGCACATTATCATTGAGAAGCCGTCTTGGGTTCCAACACTCCAGGGGCACTGATCATAGGACCAAGATGAAGAAGAGGAAGAACCCTTAAGGGAAATGAATTCCTGAGGAGATTTAGAAGCACCAAATCCTTGGAGGTCAGCACCATGGGCAGTGCAAGGCCTCCACCCTATGCTTCCACCACTCTAGTTGAAAAAGTGAGTTCTATTCCAGGACATGGTCCAGGTCATGCCTTTGGTAGAGTCAACTCCAAAGCCTTTTTCACATGTCCATTTGTTAAAGCATATCTCACCCCAACCTCTGACCTGCTCTCCTCACAGCCAGCGTGACCGTCTCACTACAAATTGGCTAAGTTTATTCTCCAGGTCTAACTCACATGCCATCAAATTCACGATTTTAAAGTGCACAGTTCAGTGGGTTTTCACATATTCACAGGTTTGTGTAACCACCACCAGCCATGATCTAACTCCAGAGCACGTTCCTCACTCTATTTTTATATGTATATTTTTTATTGGAGTTTGATTTGCCAACATACAGTATAACACCTAGTGCTCATCCCACCAAGTGCCTCCCTCAGTGCTCACACCCAGTCACCCCATCCCCCCTCCCACCTCCCCTTCCACTACCCCTTGTTCATTTCCCAGAGTTAGGGGTCTCTCATGTTTTGTCACCTTCTCTGATTTTTCCCACTCATTTTCTCTCCTTTCCCCTGTAATCCCTTTCACTATTTTTTATACTCCCTGTATGAGTGAAACCATACAATGATTGTCTTTCTCCGATTGACTCACTTCACTCAGCATAATACCCTCCAGTTCCATCCACGTCGAAGCAAATGGTGGGTATTTGTCGTTTCTAATGACTGAGTAATATTCCATTGT